CAATGGTGCACATGGTCTCCAGTATCCTGAAGGAATAAATGGCGTATGAACCAATTGTTGGTCACCGGCTTCCATGGGACTGCATCTCCTTACGATGCTCCACTGCCTAGTGAGTCAGACCTTCAGGTCGAAGGCTCCGGGTGTGGCCCCCTAAGAAAACCACCTGTTTCGGTTTGGGCACCCGGGCAGTATCACAGCCTTCACACATATCAAATGAGATTTGTGTGGCGCATATATATTTGGTGCCTCCTTGTACCAATACCTATGTGTTAAAATAAATAAATAAATCTGGAGTATAATTCACCTTATTGAATCATACAAATCTAAACAAAGCCTTAAAAAGTTTATAACATAATAATAGGTTGGAAGGATATGTCAGTTGCCATTAAAAAATGAAATAAAATGTCGAAACCCATTAAAATAATTTAATCAGTAAAAATAACAATAATAATTAGTCATTTAAGATAGTTTTCATAGGTAAATATCCCCTGAAAAATCAAAAAGTAGTATATAGTTGTTTTGGAACTTAAGTCAAGTACAATAATACATACACATCAGTTCGCATTTAACAAGGATAAGAACCTTCACTGTAGACCCGACACCATTCAATAACCGACTTAGAATCTAGTAGCTTAATTTTAATAACTTTAGTCAGTTCGAGGCTATCATTCAAAATATCAATGAAATGGAACCATAGAATAGCAATATAAAGGAAAGATTTATAGCAGTTTTAATGTTAACGATATTGAAGTATATAATCTCCCCACAATATCAATTGTAGTTTAGAATATAATTGCTGGTGTGACAAATGTAAAAGCAGTATCAGGAAAGAGCAAATTCAGAATGTATCATGAATAAATGAATCACTTTCGAGAATAGATAATAATAATAAAAACTTTACAAATCCTGAAGATTTTGCAGATATTAATTATGGTGGCTTTGAGTAGCGAAGGTCACATATCACAACCTCGTATTCTACAAATAGTAACAGGATAAACATCCTGTAGAGTATTTTTGAACTATTTAGCAACTGTAATCGAAGGAAGAATTCAACCAATAAGCAGAAAATTTTCACACCATAATAGTTGAATTGGTCTAAACGAGGCTGTTGTTTAAAAGTGCTGAAAAATGTTCATATATCGAAGTATAGGATTAAAACTGATTCCCGAAGACCAAGTTGAATAAAGACTGTTAGATTATTTAAACTGATGTGTCGAGATTCTAAGAATCCATGTTGTAAATAGGTAGCAAGCTTTTCCACCAATAAAACAATCGGACATTTTGACACAAACCATTTTCTTTGTAATCCTACATATAACTGAAATGATAAAAACGTACCCATAAATGTGTAGGGTAGTCTTTTCACCAGTTTGTTATCTATGTTTACATTTAATGTTTAAATCTGTCAACTTGTTTACTGTTATGGCTGATCGTCAATAATTGTTATTGGACTCGCTTACTACTTATATTTGTCAAACAAGGAACCACTACAATTCCCACGACGCGAAGTAAAAACATCAAGACTGGTACAAGTGAAGATTTACTAAACCCAAAACCCACTGACGACCGTAGTCGGACACATACTCAATTTATATTGACTGAACACCCACTTTGATTATTAGTTAGAATGCAATCACATATATAAAAAATACCCCAAGTTATAACAAATCACGTACTGTATATCCTGCTGAACATAGTTCAACTTAATGCAAGAATATCGTATCTTGAATAAACAACACACTCAAATCAAATGTTATACTGAATGAAATATTGCCGACGCCAACATTAAGTAAAAAAGAACTAGTCATATTAATCACAACAAAGAAATCTATGCTTTTACATAAATACTCTCTGTTACATGGGATATCAAGGGTACTATCGTCCTTTACAAGCGTTATTGTAAACTAATTGTTTCCATATACTCTAGTGGGAACCCCATCTTGGTATGGTGTTCGACTTAAATAGAACCATGTAAACTTGGCGATGACAGACTGGGACTAATAACTAATGTCTGTAAGAGTTGTATAAACTGGGTAAATAGAGGGAACACTAGTCAGATAGCGTCATATGCTACAATAATAGATTTCGTGACATTTTTTCACTAAGAAAATATTATTTTCACAGAGGGTTCTGAAGTTGTTGTATCCTTCAAACATACGAATCAAAATGAATTACGGTCTGCTGATACCGTATATGTAATTGAAAATCCTGTTGAATATCTTCTGACATATCATAACTCACTTCTGTTTACCACCCACTTCCGACACAATCATCGACTATATACTACCTGGAATCGTTCCATTGAAATAGTCCTAAAGACAATCAGCTACTAATAATTTAATTGTATACTGGATTACCACTTCTCTAGCGAATTCCAAACTTTTTATAAGTTTTGGTGTTCGACAAAACTCTCAGTACACATCCGGGTAGGCACTATGGTTAAATAACATCATTAAAGAAGCCATTAAATATACCTTTGTATGTACTTTTATATGTATACAGACCGTTGCAACTCATTTATTTTTTCTGCCCAATAGTGTTAGAACATGTCAAATCTGTGTATAAAACCCTCTTTTTTATCATGGCTTTTTAAGGAAAAGATAAGTTCTAAGTTGATGCACTGTACTTTTATGCCTCAATAAAGAGCGTCTCTACCAATAAGTAGGGTGGTGAGTTATTGAAATACACCTGTTAGTGCAAACAAACTCACACAAAAAGACAATAACACATAACTTCAGATTTACTGATCGACTGACTAACTGATTACGAAATAATATACTCTTATAGATTGAATTAAATGAATTTTGTTATGGCATGAAGTAAAATGTGCCAAATAGATATACTACTCATAAAACGTAAGTAGCGTAACTGGTAGTACACATCCGAGTTCGTAGTCGACGCTAAACTGGTTGAGCAAAGCTGGAGTTGAATTAAAACTAAGAATTACTTAAATGATCGCTTTTCTTTTAATTAACTGCGAAATTCTTCAATATTTCTTTGACTACATAAGACTGACCTAATAGATAAGTCCTATCAGGAAATGATTTAAATCCAAACTCTTCAAATCATCCTAAATTTAGATGTGGTTTTTGGAGGTTGGATTTTAAGATGGTACACTTCATTGGTTGGCTTTAGTCATCCAGCGTAATTTGAATAGGATTACGACACGGGAGATTCTGGAAAATTCGTGAAACTTTTCATCTGTCGTGGTTAGAAGACTGAATAGATCTTGAACATTAGAAACGTATCGCCCTCTTGAGTGCTGTTATCACTTACCAGTTGCTCCCATTGACTGATGCTGATTAGTGAGCCACTGAAAACCAGGGAGGTTGTTACCATATCTTAGTTTGAAATCATTGCCAGTACGCAATAATGACCGCAACTACTTGTTACATAAAGCACCACTTAACAAACGAACCACTCGTAACTTAAAAATGTATGGACTACTGGATTATCTTATCTAAAATCCTGAACTGACGTTTCCGTCACCTATAGTGTGGACACATCCTAGCTTAATATAATGACAATTGACCTAAAGCATCTTCACCTCTTGAATATAAATCACAGTACAGGTATTTTTAGGCAGAGAAAACTCTTGAGAACACAAACTTTAACCATCAAGGTCATGATGCGCTCAATAAGACTTTTAATCAATCAAGTCAGTGTATTTAAAGCACATAACGCTAACAATCACCAGCGCTAACGTAATGCATCCCATTCCTACTTGTCATCGACATTCCCAAGTACCATCTTAGTATTACCTGCTGCGTGACACTACGAATCACCGAAATAATCGAGTGAATATAATTGAACTTATTGCATCCTAAATTTTCAACAACACAATACTGTGAAGCGTATTTAGCCACTAATCAAAAGGAGTAACTCACTATATATTTAAGAAATTCACTTTAACAAGAGTAAGGAAATAGGATATAATCATGAGTTTCAAATGATTATTGACAGTACCATCACATAACTACAAACTTGATCAAACCGGGAAATGAACTACCTAACATAGTTTTTGAATATAAACGTTCATTACTAAATTCATTATGAGCCGTCAAGCATCGTAAAGAATTTTATTCTATTAACGAGAACATTCAGTGAAACTTTTTTTCAGTAATCAGAAAACGATAGTGAAATGATTATTGAGTTCAAATATTCTCTATTTACATAACATTTGGTGGATGTCTAGAAAATAGATGCTTTATGTCTTTAGAATTCAGTTTTCCGAAATTTAATACCTATTCTTGTTCATCAAGGGAAGACAGACTAAAAGTTATGTTTTGGGAAATTATGGGACATTCTAGAAGTTTATACTTTGCTAGTATTTACGACTCCTTTAAAAACAACTTTCCCCTCCATGTGAATACGATCCCGATTTCATAAACACTTACATCACAAAACTGGGTGGTTACGAAGCTGATGTTTATTATTACTGCAAAATATTAGTATTTCTCAATGGTGTAGACAGTAGAGATAAAACAAACTTCAGTTTGCCGATATCTCAATGTGAAAGATCGCCGTCTCAATAAATTAGCCCTTTACGTTTATAAGGAATCTTCCCGACCTATATTTACAAGCAAAAACAGTAGCTAGTAACCAGATCATTAATTACAACTCAATGGGGGTTTAAATACATTCTCACTGTAAATAAAACCACGGTGATTACTTTATTTAAATACAAACATTCGTACAAAGAGGCACCACGAATATATGCACCACAATTCGTCATTCGATTTGTGTGAGGGCTGGAATATTGCATGGGCGTTCAAGCCACAGTGATTAGCTTGAATACAACGTGGTTTAAATACTAAATCTGATGAACTAATTGAATATACTAACCTGACACCTGTACATAATGTAAAGCAACAACATCCCAACTATTCAAACTGTCATTAAACAAAATGACATCAGTGTTTCGAAATCAACTATTTTGAAAGCCTCCGAATACAAGTAGTGTTATCACGCAATTACATAGTATAGAAATTATTGACTGCCTCCAGAATACCACATATTCATCCATGTGAAATTTTAAGTTTGGATTTCCATAATTTTATTAATTCTCATCTTAGATACATTCACATCCATATTATTAAGCACAACAATGATCTTAAATTCACGATTCGTAGGACATACTAAATTATTAAATTAGTTTTCCAATGCACTGATCAGATTAAACAAACGAACCCTTAGAAGACATTCCGAAAAAGGTAAATAATAGTAACATTTCTAAATGAAAGAAATAAAATTCAATATACAAACAACTTATATTTCATGATTCCAACTGATGAATTTATTGTTTACTTCACAAACAATTGGTGATAAAGCTAATTTTGTTTAATGCCTTCGAGGAGCTCGACGACGAGGAGCAGCTTTAATGATGTCATCTACACGTATTATCATTTCCGCAGCTTCTGCAGCTGATGTCACCAAATGATGCTTTACGTCATATGATTCAATAATCCCGAGTTCATTCATATCGGCAATTACTCCATTGTTCATATCTAAAAACAAGCAGAAGATAAATGAAAAACTAACCTCACAAATACTCGTTAATAAAGTTAACCGTAATATGATTCAATAATTATCAATAAACGCATTAGTTTAATGAAATTCTTGATAACAAAATGTTATCCTACATTTAAGTAAGACGCACTTCATAATCCTTACCCAAACCCATGGATTTTTCACCATTTGCATGAGAAGCACGTAACTGAGAGATCAAGTCTGCGCTATCATAACCACCATTATCTGCTATTATAGAAGGCAAGCGTCTCAAAGCTCGACCGAAGGACTCCATAGCTAAAGATATTTTTCCTGGTGTTTTAGCAGCACCCTGTGCTACTGCTTCAGCCATCCACATCTCCATAGCTCCACCACCACAAACTGTCCGGGGATTTTTTACTGTGAGAGCCAAAACACACAAAGCGTCATGAAGAGAGCGTTCTGCTTCTGCCAGGATACTTTTTGTAGCACCCCTCAAGACAATCGTGCAAGCCTCACCCATAGCAACACCGCTGAATCGAAGTAACTTGTCTTCACCAATTGTAACCTGAGAGAATGATGAACAATTAGAGTCAACGTTAAAAATAAAGTAATAAAGGCGTATGCAGCTATAAAATATTTTCAGAAAAGCTTTGACGTTAAACAATTATTAAATAAAACTAACTAAGGAAATCGATAGTCATTATGAGTCTTTACAAGTACAGATATATTTAAACATTTTATTGAAAAATAGCATTTCGAGTTCAATCCCAGTTACTAAGCTGATACTATACTACAAATATGTGAAGCTACGGATGAATGGATTAGGCTGAGTTGTCAGTTACTGAATCATATACTGGAATATCTGTCTAACTATGAAGTTGCTGCTAGATTGATTGAACAGAGTCACCGAACATCAGTGACTTGAAGATCAGATCTCCAAACATACAGCAAAACTGCTCTCACCGAAGAGTTGTAGACCATATATTTTATAGCAAGACTAATATTACGATGGAACAAAAAGTGCCTATGATTGGTACAAATCCATTTGACTTTCATCCCACGCAGATTGATCTCATCAGTAACGCCACCGGCAGAATCCATAGTTATTTGAATCTTCATTATTGGAAATTAATTGACTTGAATTTAACCTTCGGAACATCTTAGCGCGCCAAATTCAATAATTAATATATGTAACCTGTAAAAATTTTCCATTGAAACGTCAGAGGATGGTTTACATGGAAAGTGACATACATTACAGATGCCCATTCACTTATACAACACGAAACTAAGGTCCTGAAATGTACTAAATATATAGATAGTGTGAAGGTACCTACATCTCAATGAACAATTACAAAGCATCGTATCTATCTTGGAAGGCTCAGTTAAAACTGCTGTAATACAATAAGGATTTTTCATCATATACATCAAGTCAAAAACGCCAAATGAGAAAGGTCTATAAAATGTTAAGCTGGTATTTTTTTTAAAAATTGAAATTCAGGCAGTCAAAAAGGTTTTATTACCAAGTAGGGGCGTTACGTTCATCCAGTGCTACATTACAGAGGAAGAAACGTTAAGATAACTCACATACTCAGTAGGGCAAACAAGTTATTTAATTTAGATTATGATGGAGGTTCTAAAACAACAATGATTAAAAGTTTACGTACTTCTTCTATCAAATCACAATGTCCTAATTTTGTAGTCTCCGGAGAGTCGAATGTGGAAACGATTTCTCCACCAGTAACTAGAGCCAACCTTTCCACACCTTCGAAATCTGCATGCTCAATTGCCATAATACCAGCATCAGCAAACAACTGCTCGGGGTAGTTATATATTAACTGCCTGAAAATAAGATTACAAGTTCACATTTTGCGATATATATATATATATATATATATATATATATAGCATACTCGTTGACATTAAACCAATTCAGTTATTGGGACTTTTACAAGTGGAAGTAACAGTATACAATATACGAAGCTTATAATAATCATAATGAATAAGAAGACATGCAATGGACTTTTTCATGTAATTAAAAAAGATAGTGTAAAAAAAGTAGCAAAGACGGATTGGTTTTAATGTAAGAAGTTGATAACAGCCAAGTTGGATACTTAGGAAAACAGAAATGAATGACTATAAAAACATTGGATTTAGAATACAGCAAAATAGCTCTACTAATAATAAGCTAGCACTATGCAATGTCCAGTTGAATATAGGAATTATCTTGGTTTCAGATATTTATTTTGGTTAACTTGAGGATTTAAATATCAGACTAAATCACTTTAGATGTCCTAAGTAAGGGAGTCCATAGCAATGTGCGCTCGACCTGAAGGAGTTTGAACCCGTGAGTGAAGCGAACTTTTTAATACATCTTATATCAACTACTTTCTTAGTTAATGTAAGTTTGTGGTGAAAACAACATCCTGGTACATGAAAACACCTAGAGGTGGAAATTACAATTTACCTATTAATAAATACTGAACAGTTATGCTTTAAAATTTTGTCGACTTTGTCTTTCATTTTTTGCTTTTCGGCTAGTTCTAATTCAGCCACCTTTGAAATAGCATCTACTTGGATCTTGCTTCCAAATACTTTAATTTTATCTGCATCCATAGGAGTGTTGGCGATCAGTATTTTGGCGTTTTTCACTCTTTTAGGTTGGTTTACACCAGGTCGTTTATCCAGAAGAAAGCCTTCATCCAAATAAGAATCAGTCATGGTTCCACCCAGCTTCTGAATAATCTGTAAATCAAATAGTCTAGTTAGTCTCATGAGTGAGTGGCATCTGTTAAACATGATAGGAACTTTAAATCCTTACTTGAATAGCATCAAGATTTCCACTACCTTTGAGACGAAGAACAGCATCTACCGCTAAATTTGCAAAGTGTTCTTTATGTTGTGTCAGGAGCTTGGAACTCAAAGTTGTACGTGCAATACTTAACAGACGGTTACGGAATTCAGCATCTGACTGGTTTGATAACTGATGTGCAGCCGAATCAAGAGCCGCTAAGGCCAGTTTAGTAGCCTCACGCCAACCTTGTACAATAGTTTGAGGATGAAGCTTAGCAGCAATTAGTTGTTCACCTTCCTAAATAATAACAATGAAAATAAAGCATCGCAATTAAAGCTAAATTCATGAAATTACTAACACCTGTTAATGATACTTATCAAGACCCCAAATATAAACTGCTGCTACAGTATTTAGTTTTACTACACGAGTTATGATCTCTGTATTCAACTGTACTGGTGTTTCCAACTCTTACAGTTTAAAACTTATCGTCTTGCTTACACAGTTATCTGCTAAGTGAATATGTTCCAATGACCACCTTATTCCGAAAATGGGAAACTGGAGATTGAAAACACTTTCCATTTTCGACTAAGAAATACATATTAATACTCAGAAATTTCTTCGGCAAGACTGTTGTTTAGAGTGATGGGTGGTGCTAGGCTTAAGCCTTAAGAGGAATACCATAACGAGACGTATACATATTCAGCAGTTATGTTCAAAGTGATATAAAAAGGAAACTATAAACTTCACTGTTAGCTACTATAAATGCTACACAAATCCTATTACAAACTAAGTTGTAAATTGAAAATGAACCCAAGAAGGTAAAGATCATGAAGATGATACATATGGTTTATAGATTATATAAAGGAAAAAAAATCCTGAACATATCTCTTCATTAACGCAAAAGACAAAATAAGACTTCAGAAATGACTAAATTTGAATCATATCTGATTTTACTAGTAACCCAACTATATGATCTCAAAGACAGTTGTGAAGCGCCAACAAATAGTTAACTACTTTATTTGCCTTGGACGTCTTATCAGCCCTGATGGGCTAGTATTTGACAATATTTCAGCAGATTCAGAAAGCACAGTTGGGTCAAGCCAACTTGCATCTTTAATCGCGTAGGCGAGATGTCCGCCTGTGAAACAAAAGTCGAATACATTATGCAGCAGTTCACATTGTATTACTCTACGGCTGCGAAACAGTCTACGAAAGCTGATGTGTGGGATGCAGATTATTTATAACAGCTGTTTCCGAAGTGTTGCTTGTAACGCCGAAGTTTTGTCAAAAATGACAAGCCAGTTGGTGAAGCTTTGAATCTTCATCAAGTGGGTTTATTGGAATATGTTACATATGCCAAACCACTGATTATTTCGATGTGAAATGTCAGCTGATGTAGGTGTTAATCTGTCAGCAACAACGTAGAACTTCGTACGTACGTAGATCAGTTCAAGTTGCCACACCACATTAGCACAGAGATGCAGTTGTCGATTCAAATTCCATAGTGGTAGAGGTAATAAAAGTATAAGCAGTAATCGGAAAGATTGCGGTTTGAAGATGTTATTCAAGGAGTATAATACAGTGAAATAAATTTGGAAAGATAAAAAGGGACACGAAGAATTAAGATTAGAATTTGGAAGAACACAACAAGTGGATGCACCTGCGCCACTGCAAACGATTTTGAGCCATGTCATTCAGGGCCTCCAACCATCGGTTGCTATCGTATCGCGGATCACAACCAGGTAGTAGCCTACACCTGCCAACATGGTTCAATCCACTTGTCAGTGAATTCATGGATTTGTGCCATGTTTGGACTGGCCGTCCCTAGCTTTCTTCCAACTTACTACTACACCATAAAACATCGTACGTCGGGGCAGTCGGTGGTTGGACATACGTAACACATATCGCAGCCATCTCAACTGGTGAAGTGTCACAAATTCATCAAATGATTTGCCATCCTCACCTAGTACCCATTTCCTAACAACTGCATTACCTACTCAGTGGTCCCAGGATATACGAGCAATGTTTCGAAGACACGTACGGTTGAAAACTAGTAACCAACAAATATCATCTACTCTTACCGGCCATGTTTCACTGCCATAAAGTAGGACGGAACGAACTACTGCACAGTAAATCCATCCTCTGGTTGGTTAACCTACGCAATAAATGACGCAAGTTGGTAAAACCCAGTGGAGCCTTCTGTATCCGTGCTGAGATTTCGTCACACACCAAACGACAAGGGCTGACGAGACTTCCGAGGCAAGGGAAGCGGTTGACACGCTCAATTACTTCACTCACTATAATTAGTTCAAGTGCCAATGCCACCCAATCCTGAAGCAACATTTTGCATTTCGAGGGGAGAATCGCATCCCAAACATGTTTGCATTGTTGCTTAGAGTGGTCAGAAGACTCTGCATTTTGTCAGCGTCTTCACTAAATAGAACTATGTCATCGGTATGTTCCAAGTCAACGAGTGAATCTCCTGGTAGAAGTTCAACCCCTGGAAATTTAGATGAGGAGAGTGTTATCTCTAAAAGTACGTCAATGACAAAGTTGAACAAGAATGGGGAGAGTGGACAGCCCTGACGAACACCACTTGAGGTAATCAATTCTGATGACAGTTCGCCATAAGCTCTCACTCGACCATTTGTGTTCGAGTAGAGAGCCTTTACAAGGTTAATGTACTTCTTTGGTACTCCTTTCAGTGGCAAACACTGCCATAGAACCTCAAGATCGACAGAGTCAAATGCCTCCTTAAGGTCCAGAAACACTACAATTGCGGGGCGTCTGAATGTGTCTATATTCTAGGACCTGAAGTAGTGTGAATATCTGGTCTATACAACCACGTCCAGGTCGGAAACCAGCCCGGTTTTCTCTAGTCTGCTCTTCACGACCTTTAGTTAGGCGTCAAAGTATTATTGAAGCTAATATTTTAGACACTATATCAGTCAAACTGATTCCTCTGTGATTGTCAAAAGAGGACTTTTGTCCTTTCTCATAGACCGGAACAATCAGTGATTGAGACCAGTCAGATGGGATTGCGTCCAGTTCCCGAATTCTACCTAAGACCTCAGTCAATCTCACTGCTAGTACTGGACCACCATCCTTAAAAATCTCAGGAGTAAACCTGTCAGGGCCTGCTGCACTCCCTCGCTTCAGATTTCCTATGGCTTTTTCAACTTCGTAAAGAGACGGAGGACTTACATTAACTTGCCATTCAGGTTGACCGGAGATCGTGGGAAACCGAAGTGTGGCTGAATGCCAGTTGAACTGATCCCTGAAGTGTTCTGCCCATTGATCCAATCTCCTGGATTGAGAATGGATAATATGTCCATCTTCCTCTGAGATTGTCTCGCTAACAGTCGGTTTCCTAATACCGGTTTCCTTAATAAGTCTGAACAATTGTCTGCTATTACCTATTGCCGTTGCCTTTTCCATCTCTCTTGCTTTCGCTACCCACCACTGTTCACGGTCATTGCGTAGACTTTTTGTCAGCTTGCGCCTAAGCTGACTCCGCTCTTCGTTATGTTAAGAGCCAGATGTGATGAGTTTTCGCGCATCTATCAGTGCGGTAGGTGCTGATGAGATCCAGTGTTTCTCCCCAACCTTATGGTTTACCGCACTAGCAGATATCACTGCTGTTTACGCAGCTTTTCGGGTATCATTCCATGCTGCCTCGGGGTGGGCATCACATACATGGCTGCCTAACTGTTTTTCTAGTTGTTCCTGAAATACAATCTTAGCTTGACCATCATTAAGTAGGGCCCAAGGAGGTTTCCTTGCGGCGTTTTTCCTACGTCCAGTAAGATGCAGGCAAATACGCGCTCGCACTAGGACATAATCTGAATCTAAGCATGTGTTTAGAATGAGCGACAGTCTTCTATCGAGCCCCTCCATCGGTGGCTGATAGCGACGTTGAAATGGATTCGGGGCTCGCCATGTCAATAGATGTTTTCCCTCGTGCTTAAAGTTAGTATTTGCAAGAGACAGGCGGTTATCTGAGCATAACTGCAACATAGGCCACCATTACCTGTTCTTTGAGCTACGATACCACAATATTAACCCCGGTGTCTTTCCTTTTTGCTTAGTTTACCTATTTGAGCATTAGGTGTAGGTACCAGTCCATTAGTCGTATTTAAGGATGCAAACTACCCCGTTGGGATCCAAACAATAACTGCAATCAGTACTTGGAGAAATCGGGTGGAAGGCTTAAACTTGTTCGCTCTTGAGATGTATGCTTTTAGTCACCCTAGAGATCCTGAAGTTCTAATATTAATTTATACGTACCTTCATTGTATTCAGTCCTCATTATCGCTCAGAATATATTATTCCGACCCATCTGCTATAAATGTTGATTTCATTGGATCATGTTAATTTGGTACGGTGACCAGAGCCTACTCATATTTGTGTCAGGTTATATGTTCATCATGATTAACTGACTGAACCACACATTATTCTGTCACCGGATTATTTAATGGATCAATGGGTTTAGTGCGACCAATCTTTAATGTGGGAGTTGTTTACAGATAATACCTACAGTATAGTGATATCTAGTGTCTAACGATAAGATTAGGCGTGCAACTGTAAATAAACATGAGAACAAGGTTAAGATTGTGACTTTTTATAAACTTAGATAAATAGAACAGATGTTACGCACACCCAGATGCCACCCACTTGGACATGCAATGTTGGCTGGAAGAAAGCTAAAAGCCGAAATAAGACCTGATCTCAGTAACTGTTGGCCAAGGTTATGCCGTGAAATATAGACTACCTATTTGAAGCAATATTCCTTACCGATTATTTATACCTTCTATGGTATGGCCGGAAATCGGTTTGCGTATTAAATGTATTTATTTTCTACTGTTTTCTAGATTTTGAGATTTAATACTTCATACTTATTACTCTACGAAAGTTCACCTAGTATCCTGTATCATGAGTTATATCACCACAGTTAACAATACTGTTATTTCGAATTCTTAGTATGTATCTTGTTAATCTAATATCACTGTCCTGTGGTGTAGCAACTTAGGTTAGTATACTTGTATTACGTCCTATGTTGATTATTTCTGCCTGATATATCAAGGATGAGTTCTCGAAATTTATGGAAATAATTATCACGCGCCACAAAAACAGGCATATAAAGGCTTATTACATTTTTCACATTTGACAACGTTTTCGTCGACTGAATTTTCGGGTATTGATCTCCTACCAGAAGGTCCACTTAACGACTTAGAATACGCAGATGATATAGTCCTGTTTAGTGAAGCCGCTGATAAAATGTAGTCTTTTGGTAGCACTAAGCAACAATGCCAGAATGTTTGAGATACGCTTCTCCCCCTCTAAATGCAAGTTGTTGCTTCAGGAGTGGTAATTTGGACCAATGCATAAATGTGCCTGGTCCTACGATGTAGCTGACTGATTTAGACAACCTCAGCACATAGTCATCAACAGATTATCATTAGGTATTAGATAACATAACTAAGGTATAATTTGATTGAAAAATTAAGATCGCAGGGTAAGGGAAGTTAAAGAGCAGTTCTTCAACTAATTTACACCGAGAGCTACCAAATGATTCCAAATATACGTATAAGACTACAGTCATCAGCATTAATAAGTGATCATTAGTAACAACTTACACGCAATAATTCTGCGGCTAGAACAGTTACTGAAGTTGTGCCATCACCAACCTCATCATCTTGAACTTTACTCATTTCTAAATTGCCATAAATATTAGACAGAATTAGGATTAAACATACCAACAAGGATCTTAGCTGCAGGATTATCTACCCCGATTGACTTCAGAATAGTAGCACCATCATTTGTCACTTCGACAGTTTCTCCGGATGAGAGGAGGATTTTGTCCATTCCTTTAGGACCCAAAGTAGTCTTAACAAGATCACCGATAGCAATGGCTCCAATGAAGGAAGACTAAAATAAAGATTCTAAAGTGAAACTTACAAGTCGGGCGGTTTCTGCCTTTTCTTCATCGGCACCAGCGCTTAGAATTGAAATTGGTTGCAGTGAAAGCTAATTAAAATGAAGAGAATAAGCAACCAGATTACAGACAGACAATAATAATCTGTTGGACACTTCGACATACTTAAATGAGTCACCAATCAGACTTGAAAGACACTAGAACTCAGTATGTACGTCAAATTAAGCGTAGGACCAGATGAAAATGCTTTTCATTCAATTCAAGAAGTTATATCTATAGCCTTTTTCATGAAGTCTTGCTTTGAGTCAAAATGAACTTCTATAGTGTGAACTACAACTAAGAATTGCTAGAGTACACCTAACTTCCAAAAGTAGAAGAACCACATTCGAATAGTACAAAAGCGTTTAGTAAGGAGAAGCATTTCCAGAAAATGATGGTATACAACCTACTGAAGCTCTTTAATTTCCATCGAATGCTTGGAGAATCCGCTTACTGAAAGAAATGTCCATAACTTTCCGAATTATGAATAAAATATTAGCTCACGTCACAGCTTTTATATTAATTATGGTGTACAAGCTCCAAGACGTCCGACCACTCCTTTCTACTTTTGCTAATACAGGTATATTTTGAAATTTATCTCGACATGAGGTAGTTTGTTGTTCTGTATAACTTTAAAATAAATTTGTGTAATAAGTCACTAAAAAAAGCACAAATCCCATAAACGTTAAAATCTTAGGCCAGTTTCATCACATAACAAATTTAATTACAAACAAGTAGGGAATACCTACCCCCACTATTATATAGTTTTTTTGCCTCGGTAAGCTTAAAAGCCAATGGTGTGAAAATCACAAAAATACAGACAATGACACAAAAGACCACAAGCCTTGAGTCACATAGCATTACCATTGAAGTAACTACTTCTATAAATTTGACTTTCTTGTTGTGCTAATGAGGTGTAGCAACTTGGATCGATGTATATATGTGCCTGATCCTACGTTGTAGATGACTGAAACAAATGACCCTTGACTTGGTATATTTTTTGACCTAAATACGTTAGTACTTAATGGTATAATTGAACATGACGGGGATTTAAGAGGTTAATCCCCAACTTCCTAGAATTGCTGACCCGCAGATGTGAGTCTCCTCGAAAATATCAGTTGATGGTGCTACTTATCGGAAACATTTTTAAACTAACAAACGCGTGTTGCAGAAACATTTGAATATATTTCCGTTCGATATTTCCAAACTAAGGATTTCCCATTGAATGTTCTCCCAAAGCAATGGATAAGGGGAACCCAAGCGTCTGATCCTGGATACTTCTTGAAATCCTCAGACGGTCTTATGCAAGTACTATCGATGATCTCGCATAAATCCTGGATCTCCTAAAGAGGGACCTGCGGACGAGATGCTTCATTAAATAAACTTGAAGAGACGAACTGGTGACTGGAATACACGAGTGCCGTGAGAAAAACAAGAAAATTTAGTTTTACAGTCCAGATTTTTCTCCCACTATGTCTCCTCTTTCGCCTTTAACCTGAAGAATCTAACCGAAAAATTTGGAGTCAGTTCAGTTTTCATAGTCTGGTTTCATAATATATAGTAAACTGGTCTTCTGGGAAAGTTTATTACGAATTCAAAATGGATCTAACTGCTTTAAAACATTAACGGAAAACTCGCAAATGTAAACCAAAACTTAAGCATTAAAGAGAAAAACACGATAACCAACCATGATCCACTTAGATTGTATCGTTGCACGCTGATAGTTGACAACAAACACAAGAAAGCTCCTTTCAACCGTCAATAATTTCGTTGTACTCTTTATAAATATAGAAACAAATTCAAGAGACGACACATTCGTCCTAAGTGCTGATAAAATGATTAACATGTCCTTATTTTTGATGACGTTATATAGTTTTGGCAATAGTTCACCACTCGATTTTGTTTACTCATGACATAGTTAAGCTCTTATAAACACCATTATAATAATCAACTCTATTTCACCCAACACAGCTTATTTTTAAGGTGTGAAACCTCCAAAGTTGTTTGAGGAGTAACATCCAAATGTAAAGATTATTCTATGCACTAGTTGAGGGTCTAATGATTATGTCTGCTAAGATCTTAATAAAGGTACTCTTTAAACTCTGAAGGTAGTCGTAGACGCAGAAAATATGGGTCAAAAGTAATTTTGGTTATTTAATTTCCTAGGTTGGAATAGTGAGCTTACAACGCAACTAATACATCAGTGTACTGAATGCTCTGTTCGTTTTATCACACACTGTCATTTCGGTAATACTTTGTAGCTAACTTGAAAGTCACAAAGTGATTAACCATCTCTATCAGTCTATTCATTAGTACTTACCTTTGTGAAGCCACTGAAATATTACTTTATTTTAGCCTAATTATCTATCAGAGTGAACCGCTTCTATCTTAAACAGACAATCAGTGAATGGTTGACAGAATGATAGAGATGGATGAACCAAATGCACGTTAGGAACTTACACACTGAGCAATGGCTTTAATGTTTATAGTTCTAGCCTCTTACCATAATACATTTTTTAAAGTAAAACTGTGCCTTTTCAGGGGTCATTATAGTAAACACGCGGTCTGGTTGCAGCGACAGGGCAATCCAGGTAAGGTATTGACCACAAGGTGCGACTTAGATGCAGGCTAGGTAGTTACCCTTCCTACCTAATCAGATTAGACCCATCATTCACACTGGTGTAGTGACTCACGTTTATCACGAGAACACGACTGGTTTAATAAAAACAATTATTATTATAACCAACTGTACCAGTGTTTGTTTTAACGTGCTTTTGTTTGACTGTGCTAATTATAGCCATTTTGTGCTTCCATTACCTTCCATTATTGTTCCGCGGTTTTTGGTACTGTTCGCACGTACTCCTGTCTTCTGCTTCCACTTGTACCATTCCTTGGCACGATCTCGGTATTCGTTCAATACCACGAGATCGCCAACGAAATAAATCTGGTTACGATCGATCCTCGCCTTCTGATTTGTCTGGCACGTGTTTCTGGGTAGCGGTGTTCACAGTTAATCTCAACTCGACGCCACGCTACAATTGGTAATCCCAAATTTTGGAACACGCCTCAACTTCCGATCAAATCTTCCAAAGAAGCCAATTCGGTGAGTCTATGATTTATCTATCCACGTCTGTCGTATATTTTCATATTAATTTTTAATATATAATATACACGACATGACGGATAGCGAGAAGAATACTATTAATGCTATAGACTCAGACGTACAGGCCATTCATTTTCGACCTGTATCATTTATCCCCCACGACCCTGAGGTCTGGTTTGCTGCGTTAGAGTCTCAGTTCGAGACTCGTCGCATCACGAGCCAAAGGCAAAAATACGCCTACGCTCTCGAGTCATTACCCGGGGACCACTTAGTAGCTGTTCGTGAGGTTGTCCTCAATTCTAACGTACCTAATGTTTATGATCGCCTCAAAGAGGCAATTCTCCGACATTTCCTCCCATCGAGGGAGGAACGATTGAGGACACTGTTAGCACGTCACCCCCTGGGTGATGCTAAACCAAGCCACCACCTCACGCGCTTGCAATCTCTTGCAGGACCAACGGCATGTGACTCAGAAATAGTTAAGGAATTGTGGCTAGAGTCACTACCAGCACATATCCAACCCACTGTGACGGCATTGCTCGAGGACTCACCGCTTAACCAGGTAGCCCTCATAGCAGATAAAATTTTAGCGAGGACTAGCAATAAAGATACCTATGTAGTTGCTTCAACGGCACGTCCTAAAGTAGATTTGGACGCCGGTCATTCCTCAGCTCATGGCGACAGGGACGGGTGTATCTACACACGTCTTAGTTTTCGAGACCGTTGTAACGTACCCCAACCCTACGTCCCCCGAGCTCGCTCAAGTTCTCGCAAACGCGTCACCACTCGCCCAAAAAGGGCATCTTCCAAGCCACGCCGAAAGGCGGCTACGGAAGCGAGTGATAGTTGGTGCTGGTTCCATAGGTCCTTCGGGTCTGGCGCCCGCCGTTGTCGAGCACCATGCTCATACAAGGCGGGAAACGCCAGCGCCGGCGAGTAAAAGCGCCCATACTCGCCGGCCCTTCCCCCCAGGTTGGTCGCCTATTCTATGTGCACGATTATCGCACAAACGCTAGGTTCCTAGTAGACACTGGGGCCCAAGTTTCTGTCGTACCACGAGGTAGCAGCAAGTCACAAGCCACAGTGCTTCGACTACGCGCTGCGAATGGCTCAGTCATTCCTACCTACGGTACACGACAACTCGCGGTCAACCTGGGCAACTGACGACGGTATCTGTGGACGTTCATCATTGCTGATGTTCCCACAGCCATACTAGGTATCGATTTTCTACAGCACTATGAATTGCTTGTCGATTCACGTAGGCTGCAGCTAATCGATACTTCGTCGAACAGCAAATTCATGGGCTGTAAAGCCCACATGAACGCGTACCGAATCCTCGGCACTTTTTACTCGCGTGACGATAAATTCCACGCTTTATTCGAGAAATTCCCCATACTCACTAAACCACTCGAGGAGCTTCCATCGGTGACCAATCGTGTGGTACACCACATAGTCACCCGCGGACCGCCAGTCACGGCACGACCTCGCCGACTGGCACCGGACAAATTAGCTTTTGCTAAGCGTGAGTTTGACAATTTACTAGCTACTGGTATTATTCGTCCTTCTCACAGTCCATGGGCCTCTCCTCTACACATGGTGCGCAAAAAAGATGGGGTTAGTTGGAGACCATGCGGCGACTACCGAGCTCTAAACGTAGTTACGCGCTTTGATAGCTACCCCATCCCTCACATACACGACATCACGGCATCGCTCAAGGGCACGACTATCTTTTCTAAGATCGATCTGGTACGAGCATATCATCAGATCCCAGTCGCTCTTGAAGACATCGAAAAGACTGCTATCACGACTCCTTTCGGTTTGTTTGAGTTCCTACGAATGCCATTTGGATTACGGAATGCTGCTCAAACTTTTCAAAGGTTTATCGATAGCATTGTACGAGACCTCGATTTTGTTCACGTCTATATTGATGACCTGCTAATCGCATCATCAAACGTAGATGAACATTATCAACATCTTACGCTATTATTCCAACGCCTTTCGGATAATGGAATAGTAGTTAACCCAGACAAATGCGAGTTAGGTAAACGAGAAATCATATTTCTGGGTCATGTTATCAAGCAAGAGGGTATTTTACCTTGTGAGGACAAAGTGCAAGCAATAAAGGAGTACAACGAGCCGTCCTCACTCAAGGAACTGAAGGCTTTTCTCGGTTTGGTTAACTTCTACCGTCGTTTCATCCCACACGCGGCAGAACGGTTACGACCACTAACCGAGTTACTACGCGGCAACCCACGCAGATTGGAAATGAACGATTCTGCATGTACTGCATTCACTGAAATCAAAACGGCCCTTGCGCAAGCCACTCTTCTCGCCCATCACGATCCATCAGCCACGCTTAGTATAGCGGTTGATGCATCCGATGTCGCTATAGGAGCAGTCATGCAACAAAACATCTCCGGTAGTTGGCAACCTCTCGAGTTTTTCTCACGACGCCTTACTACCACAGAGACGAGATATAGCGCTTTTGGTCGCGAGCTGCTAGCAGCCTACTGCGCCATCAAACATTTTCGGCACGCAGTAGAAGGACGTCAATTCATTTTATTCACCGACCATAAGCCCTTAACGTATGCTTTGCATGCCAAGTCTGACCGCTACTCACCACGAGAGTGCAAACATTTGGACTATATCTCTCAGTTCACGACAGATCTTCGTCACATCCAAGGCAAGTCGAACTGTGTTGCCGATGCTCTATCACGAATCCAAATGAATGCAGTTACCCTGCCGGTGCTCGATCTTCCTGCTATGGCCGCTGCCCAAGCAAACGATCCCAGTTGTACAAAAGCACCACACTCTACGTCCCTTCAGTATCAGGAAGTACCACTAGCCACGACTTCTGGCACCATTCTATGTGATACGTCTACCGGTCTTCCTCGACCCATCGTACCCTCTGCTTATCGCCGTCTCGTATTCGATGCCCTGCATGGATTATCTCACCCAGGTATCGCAGCTACTTTACGCCTCATCGCTGCACGATACGTCTGGCCGTCCATGAATAAAGATGTTCGTATATGGGCTAAGCAATGCTTACAATGTCAACGATCAAAAGTGCACAGGCACGTAGCCGCCCCCCTCGGTACATTCGCTACGCCTGATGCTCGCTTCGATCACGTTCACTTAGACATTGTAGGACCACTGCCACCATCGCACGGGTATGATCACACACTCACGTGCATCGACCGCTTCACCAGATGGCCCGAAGCTATACCCATCACATCTATCACGGCGGAGACAGTTGCTCACCGCTTCGTAGAACGATGGATAGCTCTATATGGTTGTCCCTCGACCGTCACGACTGACCGAGGACAACAATTTGAGTCCGCACTATTCTCCTCACTTACTCGGCTGCTTGGTACGGAACGAATACGCACTACCGCCTACCATCCAGCTTCAAACGGTTTAGTTGAAAGGTTTCACCGTCAACTTAAAAGTGTTCTACGAGCACACGAAAACGGCAACTGGTACGAAACCTTACCGTTCGTTCTTTTAGGGGTGAGAACGAGCTTGAAGGCAGATATACAATGTTCCGCCGCTGAAATGGTGTACGGCACGACATTGCGTCTGCCCGG